AGACAGATCTGTCTACAATCAACTTTGTCTGTTAGTAAAATATCTCACTAGTTACTGCATGGATGTTGATCTAACATAACTAGCACACGGTTAAAACTCAGAGCAAAATTACAGATGAAGAGATAAAATAGGTGTGGTTGTAGCTGAGCATCTTCTCCAACACATACTCTGATGGTTGCACATTATGCAATATTTTTGCTTAAAACTTTGGTAATAACAGTTGGAGTTAATGCTGTTTGTCTGTTAGCAAAATGTCTCATGAACCACTGCACAGATTTGATAGAAACGTTGCATGCTTGGAACATTATCAAGCCATTGAATGGCAATTATTAAACTTCAGAAAGTAATTATTATTATTGCAACTAATTAACATCTGGAGTCAATTGGATTTGAGATGGCTGCCACAGKTAATCAAYGTTAGCCAGTTAAAAATGGCTTTAATTCAGTCAGGTTTACAGACGTGAAACTAAAACCTGTTGTAGCTGAGAGTCATTTGAGGATGACATCYTGTGATGTGCTTGAGATTTAATATTACAACTTCTGCAAAAACTCTAACATGTTAATTATTTTAAAAATGAAATGATCTTAATTAGAAACTCTAAYATAAAAGTCAGCAGGTGAGTGTTCTGCCTTTACTTGATTAATTAATTTATTGGAATATTTTATCAAACCTTTTTTCCTTACCTTCTATCTGGATGTGTGTCAGTGTCCTCGTGCAGACAGACTGTGGCCCCTCTCTCTTTTATACACCACCTCTCATTATGAACTCACACAGGGGTCCCGGGGTCATGCTGTCAAACACTTCCTGATGAAATCCTTTTTTTTTTTTCTTGCTGACGGACACAAGAATTATGCAACTATCCATCCGGTTATAAAACTGTGCAAGAGGAAGAGGAGGAGGGAGAGGGGGAAGCAGCAGGAGGAATGTTTAATGATGGAGTTTTAAGGGCCTGGACTTTCACAGAAGCAAGTTTCAGACTCAGAGGGGTCTCTCTGGGTCCAGATAAGGTGCACGTCCCATTGTGCTGAACTTTGTAATGTGGCTGTTTCAGGTTATAAATCAAAGATTAGTTTCTCTGAAGAATTTTAATCCCATCAGCTCCTAATGCTGATTGGATAAATTGTCTGGAGAGAACCAGCTGTTTTTCCTTGTTCCCCGGTGAGACACATGTGGAGATTTGTCTCGCTTAGATCRGACAGAAATGTGCTGAGGGGAGAAAAAAATTAATTAAAATTTCCACTCACTTTGGTTTTAGTCCATGAAATAAACTGAAACACTGCTGAAGCCAAAAGCTGGTTCTAAAGTTCTAAAGTTAAAGTATTAATCCTGATCAGATTATAATCCTGTATCTCATCCCACATCTTTGAAATAAGAATACAGGTTMTGTGACAAAACAGGAACAACATGCTGAGACTTTTGGTACAAACTAAACAAAGTTCACAAAAAATGTGTAAGAACGGATCAGTGATTTTGYTGAAACAGATTAGAAAACAGATCACAGCCAGACTTTATGTCTGAACTGCAGTCAATCAGGCCTTTAGAACTCAAATGATGCTTTTAAATCCTTCTTTATCACATGTAAATACTTCAGTTGGGGTCTGTATAAAGCGGAACTGCAACACTTTTGTCGGAATTCCTCCTTGTTGTAACTCCACAAGCCCCTCTTTCACCCCTTTTCTGAGGTGTGTCTCAGATAACAGCTAAAGAAAGTGGATTTTGAAGATGTGTCCCTTTAAGAAGAACAGAGCTGATGCTGTAACTGCAGCACGTGTGGAAAACAAGATGTCCAGGAGAGGGAGACAGAGCCTCAGATTGTAAAAGCAGTCCKGTCGTGTGGATATTTTGGCTGCTGTCATGAGTGGAAGTGACACTAATCTGTTGAATTAATTATATAGCATGATCTGGTGTTCTCATGGGTTACCCACAGCTGCTATCTTTTATTTGACTGAAAACAATGATTCATGCCATTTACAATGATTTTAAAACAACTTCAGTCCTACTTTAATAAAAAATAAATGTATCTTAGTGGAATTAATCTCTTTTATTGCACACTGTCGTGTGTGTGTGTGTGTGTGTGTGTGTGTGTGTGTGTGTGTGTGTGTGT